AGCAATGTGTGGTCTTAGCTGTTTCTTCCTTTTAACTGCCAGTGGGGGTATGAACTGATTGGGTGGGAGCTTGGCTGTGTTCTGATTGGGTGGAGGTGTGTTCTGAATGGTTAGGGGCTTGGCTGTGCTCTGATTGGCTGGGGGAGTGTTCTGTTTGGTTGTGCTCAGGTTAGTCTGAGTTGCAGAGGGGTTTAAGATTTTGGGGTTAGGGAGTCGTTTGTCAATAAGGGCAGGTTTCCAAATGGCTGGTAGGCGGGAGGTATCATCTCGCTTGTTCATGCTGTGTGGGCGTTTTTCTATCTCGATGGCTTCTCTGATTATTCTGTTATTAAAATGTTCACTTTTGGCAATGGTTCTGGTATTTTTAAAGTCAATTTCATGTCCTGTGGCTTTAAGGTGTTGGACCAGGGAAGATGTTGGTTCCTCTTTTTTGACTGAGTTCTTATGTTCTTCAATGCGTGCACTTATTCTTCTGTTGGTTTGTCCGATGTATGTGGTGGGACAAGTGGTGCATGGGATTTCGTATACTCCTTGATTTTCTAATTCAATTTTATCTTTGGGGTTTCTAAGGATGGTGGATATTTTTCTGTTTGTGCAGAATGCTGTTTTGATGTTGTGTTTATGGAGGATCTTACTGATTCTGTCTGTGGTGCCTTTTATGTATGGGAGGAGGGCTTTGCCGTTTTCTTGTTCTTTGTCTTGGATTTTAGTGGGGGTTTCTTTTTGGATTAGGTTTGTAATCTTATTTCTATGGAATCCATTGGATGTTAGTACATTGGTGAGAGTGTGTAGTTCGGGTTTTAGGTGTTGTTCGTCAGCTAAGCGTTTTGTTCTGGAGATGAGTGTCTTGGCTACAGAGTTGATCTGTGCTGGGTGGTGGTGTGAGAGAGCGTGCAGATAGCGGTTTGTGTGTGTTTTCTTCTGGTAGATGGTGTGTCCTAGGGAGCCATTGGATTTCTTGTAGACTAAGACATCCAGGAAGGGAAGTTGGTTGTTAGCTTCTGTTTCCATGGTGAACTGTATTTTGGGGTGTAGGCTGTTGAGGTGTGTGAGGAAGTTGTCCAGTTTTTCTTTCCCATGTGGCCAGATTATGAAGGTGTCGTCTACATATCTGAGCCAGAGTTTGGGTTTGTGATCAGAACACACCTCCACCCAATCAGAACACAGCCAAGCTCCCATCCAATCAGTTCATACCCTCACTGGCAGTTAAAAGGAAGAAACAGCTAAAACCACACATTGCTGCTCAAAGCAAGAAGCTAAAAACACCAGCCTGAAGATGACGAATGTGACTTCGTCGAAACGTTGCCAAGACACTTCCAATTTTACGCGGGAGAAAACCCGAACAACCAAAGACCTATATACAAATACCCGCGAAAACCTCAGAAAACATATATATATATATATATATACACATTGCTTACTGGTGTACACCGCTTAGAGAGTGCTTGTACTTAAAGCGGTATATAACTCTCATAAATAAATAAATAAATAAATAAATAAATAAATAAATGGATGGATGGATGGATGGATGGATGGATTTGTTGCAAGGCAGCTTCCACAGCCAGCAAGAAGTTTGGTAAGGGATTTCTCTTTTGTTCCTTAATAGTTAGGACAGGGAACTACAATCTGATTTTAAAATAACTAGAAGCATCAATAGATTACCCATAATTAGAGACTGTAATCTTCACATACAGTCCAGTATTAGTTATGTTGTGACAAATCAATCTTCAGAACTGAGGCCAGAGTTACTAGTTTTCTTCCACTGGGAGCAATCTACACTGTCAAATGGGCCATGGGTACCACTTGATATCTGAAATTTTCTTGCATGAGATGGGTGTCTGTAAACCAAAAGGCTAATTAGCTCCCTGCTTTATATTAGAGACAAACATCCAGAGCAAGTGTAGAAAAGGGAAGATGATTTCAAGTGAACAAAGTTTGTGTGGGGGGGGAGAGATTATGTGCAAAAATTACAGGTAGTATCACAAGTTCTGCTTTTTATTCTTGCCCTGATTAAAAATGTAGCAGAACAAGCAGATGGTTTTGGGTCTGTGGGAGTCTTGGGGCTACAATTTCAATATATTTTTAAAAAGTACCACTTTCTTCACACATTTTAACACAGCTGCAGCAAACACACCCACAGAAGTATAGTGAGCCTTTAAACCACACATTATCAGTACAGGGAAGAAAGACACATCCTACTTCCTTCCTGAATGAAGGATTCGTATGTGGGTGTGAGAACAAGGACGTTTTACTGGCTCCTGGAAGTCAGCAACCCTTTAAAATATTTTTTTTTTTGGAAGAGACAGCAGAGAAAAGGGGACTGAAGAAAACCATGGCAACCAGTCAGTCCACCTACCCACACCACCCACTAGCTTCATTTGCTGACGCATAAAAAAAAAAGCCGACCGAAAGATCTCAAGCTGTCTCTACCAGCTTGAGAAGGTGAGCAAACCCTCAGAGCTCATTAAATTCCTTCCTTCGCTTCTCTTGTATGCCTGCAGCTACTAGCCAATTGAATATAAATAGAAGTTATATAACATCCTTGTTGATTCCTGTGTTAAAAAAAAATGACATGACCTTGTTTTAAAAAAGCCTGGCTCTTCCTGCTTATCAAGGACTAATCCTTATAGGGATTAACCTGAATCCACCTGTAGCTGATTTACATGCTGAAAAAAAGTTACATTAAAAAGAAGGAAGTCCTGTGCTGTTCTGTCCTAATTTTTTGGGATCCTCTAACATTTGTACATTAATTACTTGGGCAAATCTCATTTCATGAAGCCATTTTAATTAGCTTGGAGAATTGTATTTCGTTTATACCTATAGAGCAGAAGATTGGACTATGATTACATCAAAAACTAAAAACAATTAAACTTAAAGCTAAAACTGAATAGGTTTGCTATAAATTCTCTTTTCCCCTCCTTTTTACACCCTTGGTATCTTGTTCAGCTGTTTTATAACTTGACTACCATCAACAGGAGCTAGTTAGTTGTTTGGTAGCTGAAAGTCAGCAGAGGGTTTTCATTTTGCTTATTCTGGGCTTCTGCCTCAGGAAAGTCATATCAGCTCCCTGAAGTGAGTCTGCATGCTGCTCATCACCCAAATGCTATTGCTTACCCATCTCTTCTAGCTACAATATTATAGGAATGGATGATGCTCAAGAAGAGAAGACCAGTATACTGTGTAACTTGAGGTAACTGGGCTTTTATCAGGTTGCAAAATAGGTTTTAAGACTCCTCTAGTTAGGTCTGGGCCAGGGGCTGGGGGAGAATAAGCAGTGTAGCTGGTCTTCTACATATAGAGATGAGGGGAAGAAAGAGAATAGATTTGTTTTTAATGTTTTGGAACAGAAAAAAAAATTGAAGGTTGCTTAAATAACACTCCTATCTATCAAATTTCTTTCTCTTACATTTTTCTTATCTCAAGTTCTAATTAAGCCTTACCTTGCTGCTATAACTCCACTATTCCAAATTATTAACTTCTCCTTTCTCTCTGGCTCCTGTTCTTCTGGAAAGATTCCACTGTCATCTTTATTCTCTATATTGACCTATGCTATTTACTTTTAACTTTCTGGAATCTGCTGCTTAGTTTAATTGTGTTGACTTTCATTCCGCTAATTCTGGCTTTGACTATCTCCTCCCTGATGTCCATTGCCTACACTTCTCATAAAAATCATTAATAATTTCCCCTCTACCAAAACAAAGTACTTTAACTCTCTAGCTCTCTATGACCTTTTGGCTTTGATATGATGTCCTCCTTTTATGTTCGAGTCTCTATGATTCCAGTCCTAGGTGGTTCTGTTCTTACCTGTTTAATTTATCTTTTGATGTTTTTCACTTTAAATTAAATATTGGACAACTTGTTACAACATTAACAAGAATTACACCCTAGTGGCTCAGTAGTTACAATGCAGTATTGCAGGCAAACTCTGCCTACAGATTGGAGTTTGATTCTGATGAGACTCAAGGTTGATTCAGCCTGTCATCTTTTCAAGTTCAATAAAATGAGGACCTAGATTATTGGGGGCAATATGATAGCTTTGTAAACCAAGAGAGTGCTGTAAAGCACTGTGGGGTGGTATATAAGTCTAAATGCTATTGCTATTCATTTAAAATACAGCATAGCCCAAGGATTCATGTTTAAATATGGAACTCTGATGACATGGAATGAGCTATTATCAGCTATTATGCTGATGATACATCTCTATCCTGGATCAAACAAGTGATGTTACGCAGGTTCTGTCTCAGAGACTGGAGAACATAAGAATGTGGATGGGAAATTAGCTCAATAGTGCCCAAACTGAGTTTTGGGGATTGTGGATTCTAGACTGAGTTGTACTAGCCCGGAAAGAAATGGTATGCAATTTGGAGATCTTTCTAAAGTCAAGATTTCTGTTTAAAAAGCAGATGGCAGCCCTGGCAAAGAGGGCTTTTATGCAAAGTGTAACACTTGCAGCTCTTCCTGGCATTGCTCATGTTACACGATGGGATAGGATAGGATAGGATAGGATAGAGCTGGAACGGACCTTGGAGGTCTTCTAGCCCAGCTCCCTGCTCAAGTAGGAGAACCTGTACCATTTCAGACAAGTGACTCTCTAGGCCAGTGGTGGCAAACCTATGGCATGCATGCCAGAGGCAGCACTCAGAGCCCTCTCTGTGGGCACGCGCATTGTCACCCCAGCCCTGCCTCTCCCCACAGCCCCCTTCTCATCAGCAGCCCCCCTGGAGGAGAGTCACCCCTGGCGTGGACCGCGTGGAGCAACACAGCCAAGCACATAGCAGCCAGGCAGACTCCGCCCTCATGCCCGGTCACACACAGATGATGCTGTGGGGCACGGGCCGAGGGCATGGCTACCACGGTGCTGCGGGCCGCTTGGGCGATCTACTGCAGTGGGCCGTGGAGGCAGTGGGTGGCCTTGCAGGGGAGCGGGGGTGGAGTGGGCGGGGCACGGAGTGGGGTGGGAGGGGAGGCAGGGGCGGTTTTTGGGCACTTAGTCTCTAAAAGGTTCGCCATCACTGCTCTAGACTCGTCTTAAAAACATGGCTTAGACATCTGCAGAGTAGTTTATTGCAATGAGCTCTATGTAAGACTGCCCTTGAAGACTATCCAAAAGTTGCAGCTAGTCCAGAATACAGAATACAGTTATGAGCACATCTCTGCCGTGTGAACTGTGTTAGTGTGCTTTCGGGTGGAATTCAAGGTACTATGGGTCGCCTATAAAGCCTTCCAAGGAGTTCAGATATTTGCAGGACCCCTTTTCCATGGTTGTTTCTACCTATCCCAGTTTCTCTGACCGGAGGAGCGTGCAATGGATCCTTCAGTTAAAGAATGACATCTTATGGGACCCTGGAAGTATGATATTTTGTTGTGGTGCCTGCACTCTGCAGCATCATACCACCTGAGATAGATTGGCCCGGGCTCTGCTAGCCCTTTGTAAACTGATGAAGACCTGGATGTGTTCCAGGGCCAGGAGATTGACAGGTGAGTTGGCCCATTGAAAAGTTTCAGTCTATTGTTTAGCTAGATTCATTCTAAGTGGCCATTGTTGCTTTTAATTCTTTGCTAATATTATTTTTTTAGTGATTTAACATATTGTATGTATTATTAATAGTGTTTGTGAGATAGGTACCATAAATGAATGAATAATGTTTAAAAATGCTATTTCTTAACAAAGAGTCAGTTTGATGTAGTGATTAAGGCACCAGGCTAGAATAGCAATGGCAATAGCATTTAGACATATATACCTCTTCACAGTGCTTTACAGCCCTCTCTAAGTGGTTTACAGAATCAGCATGTTGTCCCTAACAATCTGGATCCTCATTTACCAACCTCGGAAGGATGGAAGGCTGAGTCAACCTTGAGCCAGTGAGACTTGAACTGCCCCAAACCAGGAGACTGTGAATTCTAATCCCAAGTCAGATGAGTGGCCTTGGGTCAGTCGCTCTCTCTCAACTGTAAGAAATAAGCAACAACAAACTACTTGCAAAATCTTGCCAAGAATACTGAAAGGACTAATCCAGGCAGTCACCAGGAGTCAATACTGACTTGAAGGGACAAAAATAAAAATAAATATGGTGTAGGGCTCCTAAAAAAACATAAACTATGGTGACTGAAAGACTGGAAAAAAGGTCGATGGGCCATTTGCTGTAAAAAATATAGGGTTATGGCATGAACTCAGAGGAAAGGGAGGAGATGTATGTTTGCAAAGCCTGCATAACAAAGATAAAGGAAGAGGGCGTGTGGACTGGTGGGGCCCCTTTCAATATAAAAACAAGAGCTGACTGTCAGGAATATCATACAAGACATATTGCTAAGAGAAGGAATGAAGCTCAGACAGAGCCAATAAAAAAAAATACTAAAAGGCTTCTAGGATGCCTATTAGTTAACTTTTTAGGAATAGGGTTGAAGCAGAGCCAATAGAATACTTATTAGATAATCTTTGAAGTGTTTATTAGAAATAGGGATGGCGTGGAACCTATAGAGGACCCTTTCGATAACTTTCAAAAAGCTATTAGACAATGTTTCTTTATCCTGCCTTGAAAAACTATATAAAAGCTTGTTGAACCCTTTGTTCTGGGTCCTGACATTTTGCTGGCTGGGACCCCTTTTGCTGAAGTGCTTCAATAAAAGGAAATCAATCCTGCAGACCGTGTCTGGTAGTTTTCATTGGGTTTGATGCCAGACTAAGACCAGAATTTGGGGACAACAGGGTACCCTACCCTGACTTTGAGTAAAGATATTTCTTGGCCATTGATACTCCCATGGCAGCCATTTCTGAGAATTCATACAAGATTCCAAATATACTGACAGATCTCTAACTAGCAGAACCCTGCTTCTTGGTTTTGTTTTGTTTTTTTTCTGCAGATTCAAAACAGAAGCATGGGAGTACTTTTCCTACCTGTATAATTGTGTTGCCACCTTCCAGTAGGGCAATAGCCAACAGGATGCTTTCATGGAAAACTCTATCACTAGTGGCATTCATGATGAGGTCTATAACTAGGTTGGATGCTCCTTCCTTATCCAAGTGACACTGGACTTCTGTCAAACTCATTTCACCACGGTTTGTTGAACTGGATCCTGATCCACCTCCTACAAAAAGAAACAAACAAATAAAGCCATTTGAGTTTCTCAACATTAAAAAAAATGTCACTTTCATTCAAATAATTAAAGCAAGCAAAGAAAGTTTCAACTGTGAATATGTTCTGGTTTATTGTCTGCTTTGCACTAGCATGCTTTGCTCTTTATAGTGTTAGCAAGTTACGGTGTTATTAGAAATGTTATTTATTTTTTAATATTCTTTCCAACCTCAAGGAGCTCAAATGTGATAGCATTATAAATAGAAACAATGTCATAATGGTTTCATAACTGTTGTAAAACAATCATAAATTACTACACCAGGAATAATTTTAATGTAATTAAAACTATTTGAAAAAGTCTACAAAACTTTTCTAAAAAAGCTAGTTCAGATGCTATTATAGACCACCCAGAGAATTTATATTATTACACGCAAACTAGTATAATCAATTAATCACTGTGGTGACACAAACAATATTAATTCCTGTTCTCCTTTAAACCTGAAAAATTTACAAGTTGGTTAAATACAATAAAAATATATGTCATTTGGGGTTGTTAGAATATATATTACTGATCAGAATTTACAAAGATTATTGTTTGTACCCATGTGGTCTCTCCATGTATATCACCTCTTGTTTTATTCTTTAATGCAGAGATATCAGTGGACAATGTGCACTGCAATTTGCACTACAAATATTGAAAATTATAATCTCTTAGCTGTCCCACATTTTTCCTTAGATCAGATCTGTCATTACATATAGTCCTCCTTTAATGACATTGTCAGGGACTGTTCTAAGTTATGATGGCCTTGAAGGCTTATGAGCTGTAGTGTTGCAGTGGTTAGAATGCAATATTACAGGCAAACTCTGCCCATAGCCAGGAGTTCGATCCTAATCAGCTCAAGGTTGACTCAGCCTTCCATCTTTCTGAGATTGGTAAAATGATGACCCAGATTGTTGGGGAAAATATGATGACTCTATAAACTGCTTAGAGAGGGCTGTAAAGCTTCATAGTGCACTATGAAGTGGTGTATAAATCTAAGTACTATTGCTATTATGAGCAGTCCTCAGAATTGCCTATCATCATGTAATCATGATTTGGGTGCTTAGCAACCAGCTCACAATTCCAAATGGCATTGTATCCCACAGTCATGTGATTGCCATTTACATCATTCAATGCCAGCTTCCAATATGCAAAGTCAATAGGGAAGGAGACAGGAAGTTGTAAATGGTAATCACATGATATTGCACCTGACAACTGTTCAAGATTTGCTTAAAAATGGCAACCAGTAATGCCGCAACTGCTCATAAGTGCACATCAGGCATGAAAGCTAAGATCCATACATGAAGGTTCAATGAAACTGATTTATTGCTAAAGCCTATGCACAAAAATCTTCTCAATTATCGGTCAAAGCCAGATGGTGTACATACCAGCTGTTTTCCCCACAAGAACAACCCCTTGTGGTGCATTGATCTGAGAGCGGGATTGGCCCAAAGTCACCCAGCTGGTTTCTATACTAAAGGAGAACTACAACTTACAGCCTCCTGGTTTCTATCCAAGGACATTACCCACTACACAAATGGGTTATTTGGTTTTTGCTTTTTTTGTTTCTCTAATAAATGTTAATATTTAATAAATAACATAGAGAGATGGGTGGTTCATATATATATATATATACTGATTTTAATAAAGAGACTGTACCAAGAAAGTTATGAATATCAATAAGTTCCACACTAGTAAGATGCATGTATAATAAATTGTACAATAAATTAGGAGGGAAAAGGCAGGATGGGAGAGGAAATTAATGAACAGACCAATTTCCAATACTTTAAGAATTAATTCAGGAGACAACTTTTTCAGTGACAGAGAGGTAATAGAGAATGAAAAACACCTGCTGAAAGCTGAGACTGTCAGCCAACATGCCAGTTTCACAAGTTATCAAGAAGCATTCAAAATATCCTACCTGCTCCTCCAGGTTTGTTGGGCCCTGCAGGAGATAAAGGGCCATTGCCAAAGCTGGTGAGGCTCTCTCGTCTTCCTCCACTTCTGATGTTCCCATAGTAACGATTTACCAATACCTGTCTCAGAGCCTCCCCCTTAATTAAAGATATTGAAAGACAGAAACACATGATGAATGGAAAAAGTGAGCCAAAGTCAACAAAAATAGTAAAATTGGATTTCAGCTGGTCAGAAACACAACAGAAACAAGATTGTGAAGAAGAGATATAAATGTATATAAAAAACAGAAATATTATGTACCTATACTCATTTAAAAATGTTATCTCTAGATCTTCAGATACTTTTATGAATGCTACAAGTAAGTGGCTTTATACTAAAAAAAACATATTCTAATATGAATGAATCATGGAAAGAGCCAGTGAAAATTGTATATAGGACACAACTGAAAATAGCCCTCAAATATTTATGAAACTAACTATATTATAGTTCTGTGACTGGTTAAAATTATTGAAAGTATACATAATGTAAATTTTCCCATCTTAGACTTCCAGAAAGATGGTTCTTATCATCTTATCATGAAATAAAGTATCTGTGCATCTTATGTCTCTATCAGTGAAGTAAATTGAATGGGTTCCTTTACCTAGGAATTTCCTAATTCAGTTATATTAACTTTTAAATTCAGATAATTACAACCTAGCATACAATTTCTTAAATTTTGAAAAGGTGGATCAAGAAATGCAAATATTTCAACAGAAATGATACATGATAGGAAATGGACACCGTAGGCCCTTTCCTATCTCCTTCTTTCCTACCTCTATAAGGACAATGACAACCATTAATATTAGAACAGTCTACAAATACAACACTAAGCAAGTAAAATTTTTAGTGTACACTTGTTGCCTTCTGAGAAGCATTTTTCCTTTAATTTTTCAGCAGCTGCATATGCTGGCAAACAGTTTTCTTGTTTTACAGAATATTGCAGAGATGATTGCCAAAAAGAGAATCCCATCCAAATATCTCAACTTGGAGAAGTGATATTAGAAGGAATCCAAGCAGGTAAAGTTACCACTATAGATCTAATAATAAATATTGTTTCTTTTTTGTCTTGTTATTAATTTCTGAAAAAAAAGGGAAGAGCTGTTTTCCCCTGTCAATAATAAACCTGCAGGATAGAATCAGAGTACATTTGTGTTTTGTCTCATTTTATGGTCCATCACCCCCACCAGATGAGCCACTGCTCTCGACACAGCCACTACTGGCAGGTTCAGCCCTGCTCTAGTGAACTGTTGCTGTGAAAAGGGGAACAGATTAGAATAGTTCAAAGTCTCAATATATCAACATTGCAAGCGGTGAAAATTGCCCACTCTTTGACAAGATTGAAGCACTTTTAACACTGTCTAAATATTCCTAACATGTAATTTTATCTAATTTCAAGATAGCACGAGGTAACTTTTTGTAAAAGTTTTTTTTTAATTTAAGAGTTATGCAAAACTCAAATACATAGAAAATTCAGTTTGAGCAAGGCTCTTAAGCACAGTTTTGTTGCACAACATATCCTTGAATAAGCCGCATCCAAATTTCTTGAGGAGTTAAAGATCCTACCCATGATATCCCAAAATTTGACAGGCTTTGTCCAAGCACTGAATCTATATTTCCTTTAAACTAATTCCTCAAATATAACAATGCTAAATAGATTGTTGGAGGTTACACATGAGCCTCTCCCATTCAAACCTAGTGAGAGGCAAAGAAGCTTTTAAGAAGGAGTTAGAAGACTATGTCTAGACCAGGGGTAGGCAACCTCGGCTCTTTTATGACCCATGGACTTCAACTTTGAAGTCCATGAGTCATAAAAGTTGAAGTCCATGAGTCATAAAAGAGCCGAGGTTGCCTACCCCTAGTCTAGACCGTTGGGTTCTAACAAAATTAGATTATTTTTTAGAATAATCTTGATAGTGAGGATCACCCTTTAGATCTGATAAAGAAAGGAACATTCAGATTGTAGACAGTTTTACATTATACTTTTAGAAAATCTTGACAAAAGTGATATAAATTCCTAATTATATATATTTTAGAAAAAAAAATCTAAAATATAATGCACTCTCCCTAACTCCCAAGGTATTCAGTATCTTTAATAAGAAGTGGAAAATAAATACTCTCAATAATAAAATAAATAATAATAGAAGTAAACAGCCTGGAAATAATTTTTTGTATCCACATGAAATAATTATTTCCATGTGCTTTGAACGTTTAAGATATTAAGTTATAGGCTGCTTAAAAATGGCATATGTACATAATTTCTTAAGAGAGCAGGGAAGAGAATATTAATTATAATAAAGAATATTATTCTGCAAATAAAAATCATTTTTGTATTTTTCATTTTTATGTATATCTCCTGTTTTACAGGAACAGATAATAGATTACTCAGAGTTTGTACTGGTTTTATCATGAGTAAAAATAACTATATAAAGTATTACAGGCAGTATTTCTTCAAACACTAACAAAGTAATATGAATTTTGTCTTCAATAAGAGATCTTATTCACACAATCTACTGACTCCAATGAGAAAGGAGTGCCACAGATTGAATTTGGTTTGCCTGCACTTCACATACTTGCCCTTTAAAAAAAGATGAAAAATATTTAAGTCAGGTAGAAAGAATTTCAGCTCAGTTACTTGAGCTGTGTTTGACCAATGGACAATACTCCAGTATTAATGTAACAACAGAACATGGCTACACTTATAGTCTGAGCTGAACAATAATAATTTTCAGGCCTGAGAAAAACTGAATTCAACTAACAATTGCCTGCAGTTTGGGTTACATAAAATAAAATAATCTATCTACTTATCTACCTACCAACCTATCTATTGAGATCAGTTGTTTCATTTGTATAATTTGAAAACAATAAAATCCGGCAAATTAATTGCACCTCAACTATGTCATCTTTCTGCTTCAAAGAAAGCTACAGTATTTGTTACCAGTAGCAACCATAATATCACTACATATATTTGAGATATACATTGAAGATAAGCTTAATTCTTATCCTCATAGAAAAAAGAAAGCATTTGTGATGAGAAAGATATTACTACTGCAAAAGGATAAAATCTGAAATTAGTGTTATATGTAAAAGAATCGTACACTTTATACTGCTACAATAAATCTAAATTATGATTTCAGCCATTCAATTTGTAAAGATATTTTTGTTTCTAATTCTCCATGCAATATATTTCATTTATTTGTTTGTTTATTTATTTATCAAACTTATTAACCACCCATCTCTCTCACAGAGGGGCTCTGTGCCATGCTCAACTGACAGAACAAATTTTATGGTTTATTCAAGGTGCCAATCATTCAGAGTTAAATGGAATTTTACCTCTACTACAGTATTTCTTTTTTAATTCATTCCCTGAAATCTAACGTGGTAAAGGCATTATACAACCAGAGCAACAATGCATCACCAAATACTTCATCAGCCCACAGATTTTAGGAACATAGTTGATTGTCTTGTTTTTCAATATCATATGAAGCAAATCAGAAATCAACAAATCTTGGTAAAATTCCACAATAGTAAAGTATTTAAGATAGTAAGAGAGAATATTGTTTAAGAATCTCTATAACGGGTGTCAAACTCACAACATCATGTGACGTGTCGCGACGTATCATAACTTTTTCCCCATTGCTGGCAATAGGGTAGGCGCGGTTTTGGCGTGACACATCCGACCTGCGGGCTGCTAGTTTGACACCCCTGCTCTATAACAATTTCTAAATGCCCAATCCAAGCTTTAAAAACTGGTCAAAGCTTCTTTTGTTTTCATAACATTTTCAGAGAAAATACTCATTCTTTAGATATGTATTTTCTTTAATTAAAATAATTATAAAAAACAATTTTCGCAATTAGCATCCAATATATTCATCTTTAATCCACTGCTAAAGATACATACCCTTTTTTGATCTTCAAGCTGTCTCTCTGGTAGACTTTGATCAAGCTCCTGGCGAGTATGGAGAAATTTTTTTAAAGATTGGTACTACAGAGATACTAAATAAATTTTAAATAAATAAGTATTGCTCTTATATAGTGGGTTATATCACTCTGTGTACTACAGGAGGTTAAATCATGTGATAAACAAATGCAGGGTTGGGCAGTCTGTAGCCCTCAGATCTCAATTGCCACCACAAAAAATATGGCCAATTTTGAGCGGCAAAATTTTTCAGGATAAAAGTGAAAATTGGTATCTTATGCTTAAGGAAATCCAGATATAGTTTTATCCTTAAAAATCTCCAATCCTTAAAGTTCTCACCAAAAGATCCACTTTTTTTTATCATTCATGCTTTTCAGGGACATCATTAGGTCTACTCTTAGGAGACCAGTACAGTATTTTTTTTAAACTCAAGGATTGCCACTCCTGAACTACTGAAAGTTTCCGTCATCTAACTTTGATAGTATTAATATTTACATTCATGGTTTGTTTGCTGCTTTGCATAAAAATACAGAAAAACAGTTTAACTTACATAACAAGAGCAAATGCAAAAAAAAATTGGCTATCACCATGCAAACACATACTTTACACGGAACACACTGAACTTTACATACAATTCACTTTACTCAAAATATGGAAAAACATTTAATTTCTGCCTGAAGAGACAGCCTCCCTTTATTATAACTTTTTTTCTAGACACGCTAGTTTTTGTGTTGTCTTGATTACCTTTTAAAAGATTTCTCGGGTGAATTATAGTTTTTTTTTAAGACAATGTAAAATTATGGCTTAATATTCAGTGCATGGCTTATAGTAAAGCTTTGATTGATAGAAATTAGAAGATGATCAGATTCAAAGGAGTTTTATTGCTGTAAAGATGTTATATATGTATGGAACATTTGCCTGATACAAAAATTAATTACCAGTATATAGAAATCATATAAAATAAAGACCCCAGGATTTAATGCCTTTTACTTTTCCTGGTCAACGAATTCTTGATTGTTTTTTTTTTCTGGACATCACATTTATTGTGTCCATATAATAATTTTGTTTGGCCTCCTTGTCTATTTTTGCCCTTACTTCCCCACTGGAACTAGAAGCCGCAAATGGATCTCCTATTTCTACTCTCTGGTCAGGAGGAAATGAAAGAAATTGTGCTCTTCTATTTCTTCATTTTAATGCAGCTGCCAAAAAAGCCAATACAATGCTAGGCTGCATTAACAGAGGGATAGAATCAAGATCACGTGAAGTGTTAATACCACTTTACAATGTCTTGGTAAGGCCATACTTGGAATACTGCATCCAGTTTTGGTCACCACGATGTAAAAAAGATGTTGAGACTCTAGAAAGAGTACAGAGAAGAGCAACAAAGATGATTAGGGGACTGGAGGCTAAAACATATAAGGAACGGTTGCTGGAATTGGGTATGTCTAGTTTAATGAAGAGAAGGACTGGGGTGGTGGTGACATTATAGCAGTGTTCCAATATCTCAGGGGCTGCCACAAAGAAGAGGGAATCAAGCTATTCTCCAAAGCACCTAAAGGCAGGACAAGAAGCAATGGATGGAAATTAATCAAGAAGAGAAGCAAACTAAAACTAAGGAGAAATTTCCTGACAGTTAGAACAATTAATCAGTGGAACAATCTGCCTCCAAAAGTTGTGAATGCTCCAATATTGGAAGTTTTTAAGAAGAGATTGGAAAACCATTTGCCTGAAATGGTATAGACAGAGTTTCCTGCCTGAGCAGGGGGTTGGACTAGAAGATCTCCAAGGGCTCTTCCAACTTTATTACTATTATTATTAATGTTTTTGTTGTAATTCCCCTGGGTGGAGATTCAATCCTTTGACAAAATTAGGGGTGATTCATTTATTTTGAGTTATTCTACTGTGTCTTCCTCCAGACAATAGAAAAGAGTAGGGGAGGTGGATTCATCTCTCCCTCCATTCCAAAATTGTCTTCTGCAACTTTGTCCCTAACCCAAATCCACTTCCCCTTTTTCTAAGGATCAGAATTCTTGGGAGGCACTGAAGCCAGAACTTGCCCAGTTAGGTGATTTGGCCGTTATTAAATGAGAAAATGGCTAAT